GTCTTCTGCTTTTTTTTTTGAAGCAGGAACTACTTCAGTCATTTTTTTTTACCTATAAAACTCTAGCCTTACCAAGATGACATTTGGCCATTATTTGCCAACATAAATGTTATTCTAGGAGTTCAGCTTTTCATTATAGATCTTGATTATTGAACCATTTCTCAATCCTGGTCCCATCCGGTATGTTTCAGGGTGAATCTGCTGCTACATGCCTCATGTAAATCATTAAGGAAATAATTTAATGATTTAAATCAGATGCCCTGCATTCGACATATACAGTGGGCCCTGAGGACCAGAACTAAGAACCACTTGTTTAGCGATCTGCCCCTTCTAATTGGGGTGGAAATGGGACGTCTTAACTAACATGAATGTGCCTGCAGACGTGGTTGTGTGGTTCTGACTTGAAGCAACTATTCACTGTGAACTAAGGACAGAGATTGCTGTGGTTTAGGGTGGAGACTCTCTATAATTCAGTATCACTGTAGCTGCCTTTTTTTGTGAGTTAATTTGTCGCATTAATGTTGTTTACAACACGATTTCTAAACTTTTTGAACAAATGTCAGTCCTTCAGCGTTAAAGACCGAACTGTTAAGGGGGTTTGACTAAAAATATTCAAACTCTTTCATACATTAGAGAGTTGGACACACCGAAGGCAACAAAAGCAGAGAGGAAGCTTAAACAAATCCAGATCTTATTGGTATTCACAGACCAAGTTTGGAATGAACTATTTCTCCTGGAGAGGAGGGTGTTGTACAGGAGGAGAAGGAGGGGGAATGGGCTACTCCATTATTCTATAAAGATCAAAAAGTTCAGCCCTTCATCTCTTTTTTTTTTTTTTTTTATGAGTTCAAAATTAGGGAGAAACATTTGCAATGCTCATGTGATCAGGCCAATTTTTTAAGTGGATTTCTATTGGGTAAACTTTTTACACAGACTTATTATTCAAAACATCAGTATCACTTATATAATATCAACGTTTGTTTTGGGGACAGAGCAGTGTTCTAGTGATATGGGGGCCATTAGATACTTGCTTTGAGTACAACATTTAATTAGAAAAAGCATCATTCACATTATTGCCTCGTTACTATGTGCATGTGTTGTATTTTCAGTGCTTGTGGGTTGTGTCTCCATCATTAGATCAAGTTCTGCCCCTAGAAATCTCTAGTTTTTGGTTATGTGTTTATCCTGAAATCAGTTAAGTTTTTCTGACTACTCTTCTGCCTGACAGAGTTGGACAAATTCCTACTTTATTCTTCTTGCCTGTTAAGAGAAAATAAAATGTTCTGTTGAGTCACTGGTTCTTCAGTATTTTTGAATTCAACAAATTAAGAAATTTCAGGCTAAACCGATTAAAAGACTAATAATTATTTTTTTAAATAACATCTATTATTATAAACAAAATAATTTGCACAAAAGTACATTAAATTGGTCAATTCTTTTATAGAATTGAAATGTTTATAAAATGGGAATTGTTAGATTTGCTAAATTTGTTGAATACAGGGGAGGGGGAAAAGTACTTGTGGGACTCTTTCTGAATATATTCTGACACACAAACTGTTTATATGCTAAGTTATTGCAAAAAAACAAAGACACTTAACCGATAAGTTAACAACATTTAAATTGCACAATATATTGCAAATATATTGTAGATGAAATATGTGTGCTCTTTTAATTATTCCAAACTATTTAGAATGCAAGATGTAAATTTTGCAAAGAACTCACTTCCTGCATGCCATAAGCCTGTTTTATTGGGTCTCAATGCAGTAGATGGTCAGATATTACAGGTGAGTGCCATAGAGAGTGAAGTATTGCTCCTTTAACACTTTTATTACATGTGCATATACCCATGCTAAATATTTAAGTGATGAGTTGACGGCAGCACTCCAACAGCTAACCAAGTTTGTGCTCAACTTTTTCATTGTAATGTTTTTTGTGTTTTTCTGTCTGACACTACAGATCCTGTCCTCACTGGGAAGAAAGCAGCACTGGACTTGAGCTTAATGGAAACAAAACGGAGAGGAGCTGCAACTGTAAAGAGCAAAATGTCTAGATGACAACAGCTATGCTGACTTAGCTGATCAATTACTGGGTCGCTGACACTTCCTTCCCCCTGCTATCACTGACTCCCCCATCCCCGTCAAACCATGTTGGTTAGGAGAAAGCTCTGGGTGGTTGCAGCAACTGCTGCAGTTCTGCTTCTTATGCTCGCAAGCCAGAGCATCCAGATGAGACATTTACTGCCTCTCAACAGCAGGACCGAAGCCTCTAACAGGGGGACGGGTAAGAAGTTTGGAATGAAGAAGTCATCTCAGTGGTAAAGTTTACAATTTAGCAGTAGTTTAGGTGTTGAAAGGATTGAACCAGATTTTATCAGTTAACTTTGAGGTATTGCAGCGTTTAAAGAGTTGCTTTCGAAGGTCCCACCACAAAACACTTTCTGCTGGGCCTGTTATGCTGTCTTGCCACATCTAGTTCACACCTGCCTTCCAACCTCAGCTAAACACTAGGCGTGAAGTTGAGAGCAGCACTCCAATAAATTGTTATTATAGTAAATAGTTTTTTTTTGGGCTGGCATTAAACAGCAGCTGGGTTAATACCGCTATCAACTAAATCTTTTTATGCAGGCCGGCCGCCTGTCATTGGACATAAGTTCTTGACTCATTATGAATAGTCTATGTATATGCCCAAAATAAAAATAAAAAAATGCATAGGAAGTTCAGCATATGCTAGTGTTTTAGGAGATTCTTGGACGTCAGGAATACGCTGGCTAAATCGGCAAGATCTGACAGGGCCATCAGATATTAAAAGGATAGATTTAAATGGGTTGCTGAATTATTTGTTGGATTTTGATCTGAGATGATGGCATCACACAGTTGGTGCAGATTTTGTGGCTGAGAGAACACGAACATGAGTCTCCTGTTGCACCAAATCCTCAAAGTATTTTGATGCATTTAAACATAGTAGCCATTGAGGCTAGTAGAACTATGAACTCTGTGATTTTCAAGAATCAGGATCCCCATTATATATTTATTTTTAGTGGTGCATTATCCTAATAAAAATATCTATCATAAGATGGAGTCAAAAGTGATTAACATGGTTAGCGTTTAAAGACAGCCCTGCTGGTATAAATGAGAATTATGCAAAGAAAACACCCCCTGCAAGCAGACTAATAAATAGTTGATGCCAGCCAGGGTGGATCCATGCTTTCATGCGACGCCTCGAATTATTGATACCATCATAGTTTTGCGGTTGAATTCTAGACTCCTATCCTGATCTTAAGCGGCATTGCTGTTACTGTACCAGGTGCTGTAATTTCCTGTTGTAGCAAGTACTTATTTGACTGTTTCCTTTCTTGGCTCCGACAAATCTGCACATTCTCAGCCAGAGCATTTATATCAATACAACCGTATCTTCTCTTTTTGTACTATTTAACTCAAACCAAACAGATAGTTGTATGTAAAATAAAAAAATAATCCCAGTCGGTGTCACCTCTTTGTGAAAAAATCTGTGATTATTGACTGTTAGATTTGGGTTATCTCTGGTCTGTTTTAATATCTATGTGCCATAAATCAGCCATGAAAGTGTCTGTTTAGTCCAGATTTACTCATGGCAGGTCAGCATGCCACACTGTAAGGCGCCTGGAAGACGTTGGCGTTCCTCTGACATGCTGGTTTTGTTTTCCTGTGGGAAGATAATTCTCTTCTCTGTATAGATTGGCTGGCAGCTTCACATCTGCTGACCTCCATTCAGTGCTGAAGGTCGCTTTTATTTCTTGTTAATCTAGCTTTTTCTAGGGGCTCCTTCAGAGACAAGAAAATCAATTTAACTGCTATAAGACTGTCTAGATAAGAACAGGGAAGATTCTTATTAATAGATTCTAGCGAGAACTTGTTAAAAGTAAAATTTTGATGGATTATTACTGATCTCATTTGTCAGTTGAAGTCACTGATCAGCATGTCTTTATTTTCCATCCTCATCATTCTAATGCTTAGTTGGAACTTTAATAAATAGTTTTTCACCACATCTACACCCCTAAATACAGACTTGCTGCCTTGGAATTGACCGATTAGCTTTTTGTGCTGACGGCTAACTGAAGAGATGTGCCAAATAAAAATGCTGATGAGTGTGTAGGATTAATTTAGACCACTGGTGTTTTCCATGAAGAATCAAAGATCCACACTCGGGTCATGTAGCTCAGACTCTAATGAAGAGAACTATGCAAGACTTTATGCTGTGGTAAATAATTGATGCTTTTGTTTCAAAGGCTTTTAAAAAAAAAATGCTATATTAGTGCAATACATTAGAAGAAGATGGTTGGTGTTCAGCTGGTCGTTTCACAGAATTGTAAATCAAAGAGTTCTGTTGTAATTATTATAATTTTGAAATCGTGTTTGTTTTTCAGTGGTTGAGCCAACGGTTGCCCCTGCTGTACAGACTCCTCCCCCTCCTCCTGGTACCATCCGCTCTGAGAAGGATGGAGAAGAAGTAGAAGAGGAGGAGGAGGAAGAGGAAGAAGATGAGGAGGGGGAAGAAGAGGAAACGCCTGTAGAGGACTTTCAGTTCCCGAAGTAATACTGTTTAGACTATGTAGTCAGTATCCTATAATAATCTGTTATTCCTTGCATGATCCTCTGTGCCGTCCTCTTTCAGGCCATGCAGTTGCTCAGACTCCTGTGTTTCAGACCTCAGAGGGTCTGCATGGTTCAGCATGCGCTACGACCCCAACCAGGAACCTATCCTACGTGCCAAGAACAACTTTGACCCTGATGCACTCGCATGGTGGCAGGTGAGGAGAAATTGTACTTAAATCCATATTTACGTTACTGTTGAGCAAACTGCAGAATGGAATCACCATTTGCAGTTTTGAAAAGTCCTGGTTAATGTGGCTGATTCTAGGTTTTTAAGTCGATGGAGGGCAACAACTTTCTGATAAATCTAGGAGGAAGTTAACGCCTCAACTGAAACATTTCCGTGGAACAAATGTTTAAGAAAACGACAGGCTTCATAATGTTCTGCTACATCATCGATTCTGGTTTCCTGCTCTGAAGCTGTCTGCAGTGTGCACACACAGATAAATCTCTCCTTTTTTCTGCAGTTATAGATTAAGTCTTGCTGCAGACACCATTAGTAGATTAAAAGGAGGAGGGGTATCACCAAAGCTGCTAACATCATCATTCAGGTTTACAGAATGGAGTCTGTATTTTTTATATCTGTGTTATAATTAATACAGTTGTTTCTTGCAGCAGTCTGCAACTATTTTAATGCCTACAAATTAGTCCTGAATGATTTTCTACAGCTTTATATTTTCCACAGGGTCTTCAGCGGTCCGGAAATGACCAGACTTTAGAGGAAGTGATGGCAAAAATGTTTCAGGTCGTTTCCCCACCCACTGTGGAAACCAAACCAGTCCCCACACGTTGCCGTAAATGCGCAGTTGTCGGCAACTCTGGGAATCTACGAAGGTCCGGTCATGGCAAACTGATCAACTCACACAGCTTTATAATTCGGTACGTTTACAAACCCAAAGGTCAAACATGAGTGCAGATTAGGCCTCCAGGTCTCATCCTCCTTTTTGACCTTCTTCCTTATTAGAATGAACAAGGCAACGACTCGAGGGTTCGAGAACGATGTTGGTAATAGGACAACGCATCACTTCCTGTACCCAGAGAGTGCTGTGGATGTGGATCATGGAGTCAGCCTGGTCCTCCTACCATTCAAGCTGAGGGATCTGGAGTGGCTGACCAGCGCCTTGTCAACCGGCCATATCAAAATGTAAGACTGATAAATTATAAAGAAGCTGTAAATTGATTAATTACTTTATGTCAACCTTAACATTGACATCAGTTTATCCCAGTAAATAAGAATATATTTTAAAAAAAAAACATTTATTTTGATAAATCAGTTCAAAATATCAAACTCATAAATCAGTTATAAGCACCTTCAGATATAAGTTTAAGCTTTTATATCTGGTGGTTGTGATACATTTTGGTTTACAGCTAAAGTAATAAAAAAAGAACAGTTTCTTAGAAAATTAGAGCATGACTAAAGCCCTTTTTCCAGCCTCATACAGTGTTACTAGGCTTGGTCTCATTACTCATTACAGTACCTGTTGCCTTTTTATGAACATGATGACTACAGCTGTGTTTTTAAGCCCCGCCTCCATTGAGCAGTGTTCTGGCCTGGTCCGTCATTAAATGTTACTGTATGACGTTTACATATGAAAGGAATCTGTGCGAAATTGAAAAAAATAATAAACCTTATTGTTTGTGCAAGGAAGTCTTAATTATTTTAGTATTACAAAAAACCCCACTGGGATAATTATCCTGATCACAGGCCAGTCTGAACATGTTAAATAAGGTACAGCTTCCAGGAGCAAAGCATCAGTAATGATAAAGCCATCTGATCTGTTCCAAAGTTTGAACCGAAAGCTACAAATTTAGGAGTTATGTGGAGGTTTTTCCTCAGCCATGGGAAAGAAAAGGATGAGTTTCTTGGAAGTTCAAAACTGCAGAATTTTGGCCTGAGTATAATTAGTTTAATAGGATCCATACTGGATTATCACACTTGGTGCATTTTTGGGCTCTCTCTAGCATTTGATCCGATGCAGGTGGTCTGCTTGCTGGGCTCTGCCCGTTTCCTCCTCCTACTGTGGTCATATTTGTAAAATACATTTTGAAGCAATCACTTTTAGAAACAGTTATTGTTACTTTTAGGGAACCTTAGTGCCTGCTGAGGAGAAGAACAAAATAAGTCCATCCATTATGTCATAAATACATTTTGTTTACAAAGCAGGAGTGGAGTAGCCTCGTGAGACCATCCTGATCTCGCGAGCTTTCAAGATTTCACTCGCTAATCAGTCTGGAGACTCTCCGTTGAAGAAAATTTGGAGCCGTTCACTAAACGAACGTCCAATCAGCGTTGGCTTTGAGGCGGGTTGAGATGTGACGCAACGAGAAGCTCGACAGTTCAGTCTAAAGAACATGGCGGCTTCAGCCGATGAAACTAGCGTTAGCGTGGCTATTGAGCAAGTTTTATCGGAATTACACAGTATTTCTTCACTGAAAGAAGAGCAAAACACTGCTCTGGAGGCTTTTCTCAGAGGAAAAGATGTTTTTGCTCTTCTCCCGACTGGTTTCTGCAAGAGTAGCCTGGCTTGTGGTTTTGTTTTCGTCGCCGCTCTGTTAGTACGTCATATGCTTCGTTGATCTGATTGGTTAATTTGTCCCGTCTAAATTACTTAAACGGAAGGTTTCCAGATGAATATGCGGAGCAAATCCATCTGGCGGAGTCAGGTTAGGAGTGGAGTGGCCTGAAAAGAAACCCCGAAAAAGTAGCAAAATTTTCAAATGCATTCTAAATACTTGGATATTAAAATACTTTGAAGTATTTCTGTTCTATTTTCTCTACTACATCTTTATTTAACCTTCATTCAACTGGATAAAATCCATTGAGATCAAAACCTCTTTGTTTTTAACCCAAGGGTTTTATTACTTCCCGGGTCACCATGAAATGTATTCATTCTATAAAATGCATTGAGACAGTCTTCCGAACAATCAGCTTCTTTAACCAGGACTTTTGAGGCGTACCCTTCTAGTTGGCAGCTGGCAAGTGAGCCTGTGTTATTTAAGGCCATAAAGCCATTAAACAGGGCTATTCTCTCTTCTTTCATATTTACATTAAACACTTATTGTAGCTGATTGCACAGCTGTCTGTTTTAATCAACATCAGTAAGATGTGCAGTATATTGTGCAATGGCCATAATATTGCTTCAATAAACATAATTTTTAAAGGTCTTGCTCCTTTTGTTAGTCACTGTATTGCTTGGTGCTTTACTTTACTAGCTCTGTCTTCCTATCTGGTGTAAAAGTCTAGAATATCTCTGAAACATTATGCTTTCAGATGTTGTTGCTTTATCCAACTTCTTCAATTTTAATTAATTGTAACTGAGACAGCACCAATGAAAGATATTCCTCAAACACAGACTGGAGCTGCCCAATTTATCTCATTTAAATCCTTTTAGAGGCTTTCTTCTAAAAGAAGTCAGACTTTACATGATTTAAATGGCTAACTGATTAAATTTGCAGCGTAGTAGTTTTTTCTGGAGTTTTCTTTCAACCACACATATATTAGTGGAAATTAAAATATAAATATAATCCCTTTTATATTTGGATAAAATATCCTGTTGTTGCAAATAAACTTGTTTTGTACAGTAAGGTCTTTGTGTAGTTTGGGAGGTCTTTCTGGCAGAATGGATGGAGATCATTTAAACTGATTGGATTCCTGGCATGGAACCAACTTTTAACTATAATCCAGAAAAATCTGCTAGGCCTGAGGTCCAATCTAATATCCAATGGGGATTAAAGCAGAAGCTTGCTGGTTGCTACAAAACAGTACTTCATAAGCAATAATCACCCCAAGATGATTGAGGGTTTGTCATGTTGAGACTGGAAGGATTGGAAAAAATTCCCACTCATCTCTTTTACCAAAATTATTGTTTATTATAAACATTATTTGTTGGTTAATCCTTTCTGGAGAGAAAAAAAACAACATTTTAGTTCATCAGCTGAAGCCACAAGGAGATATATTTGATTTTAAACTGATGAATGGAAAATGTTAATCTCATTATTTTTTAAACCACTATTTGTTTTTTAGGACTTACATGAGGGTGAAAGACAGAGTGGTGGCTGATAAAGACAAGGTAAATAAGAACCTTCTTTCCTAAAAATCAATTTCCTTTTCTGCTTTTAGTCTGATTAACTGTGCAGGTTGACTTTTGAGCCCTTATTTTTTATTTTTATTTTTTACTTCAGTGGCTACTTGTTTGGGGGTCAGTTTCTGCCTTAAGTGTAGAGATCATAAAACAGGAGATGGACAGATGGATTGGAGCTTTCTCTGCAATGATTGTCCTGTTTACAGTGCTGTACACAGCTGAGCAAAAACCAAAAACTCCCACTTTATCAGTTCCTCTATGTTGCAACACTGATCTATGGTCTTAAGAAATAGATCATGTCCAAAAGAATGAGACCCTGAATAGAAGCTGTGAAATTTAGTTCCCTCTGTTGGGTGACAGGATGCTTTTCCATATCAAGAGTCAGTTAAAGGTATAGTCGAGGATTTTTGTGAATTTTTGAAAAGACCCGTTCTCTCCACTTAAAAGAAAAAAGAAAAATTACATGCACAACCCTGTACCTGAGAGGGAACGCCTATAAAACGCGTGCGAGAGCATGCACAAGCCCATTTCTTCTGATGCATGCTCGATTTCAAAATTTGCTGTTTGCATTACTCATACAAGCTTTCTTTCCAAAAGATTTGTAATTTTCCTCTATGTCACACTCACCACTAGGCACGTAGAACGGCCTTACATAAACATCTCACCAGAATGATTGACAATTAGGAGGATCACTTATTTTGATGATGCACCTGGAAAAAGAACATCCTCCACTATACCTTTAAGCTGGTTTGTTCATCTGCTTAGGAGCAACCTGGACTTTTCTCTTTTGAGGTTTTGTAGTGAGTGGAACCTGGAGAAGCTCCAGAACTCCTTGGAGGGACAATATGGTGTAATTCAATAAAGATAGTTTTAACTCCACAACTTAATAAAATTAGTCAAAAGATAAAAAAGATTGGTTGGTTATAATTACATGTCTCAAACTTCTTAAAGTCTGTTTTATTGTTTTATATTCTGGTTCAAGTCATTTATATCAGGCATCCCCAACCTGGGTCCTCGAGGCCCGCTGTCCTGCAGGTTTTAGAGGTTTCCTTGCTCCAGCACAGCTGATTTTAATTGAAAGTTGATTAACAGGTTTTTGGTCTACTGCAATCATTATAATCAGCTGTGTTAAAGCAGGGAAACCTCTAAAACCTGCAGGACAGTGGGCCTCGAGGACCCAGGTTGGGGATGCCTGATTTATATATCTCAGTTTGGAGTCTTTTACTTTTAGCTAACTTGAATAATTTTGTCTTCATCCTGCAGGGGGCAACATTGAAAAGGAAAACAATCTTATCTGCTTTTTTTTTGTTTATTCCAAGGTCGGATATAACTTTGGAAACTTTGTGTGTTAATAGGTTCTGGTGGTGAATCCAGTCTTCTTTAAGTACGTCCACGATCGTTGGACGGAGCTTCACGGTCGCTACCCGTCCACCGGCATGCTGGCCATCATCTTCGCTCTACACACCTGTGACCAAGTAGGCAGCAAATGTTTAAATTTTTATTGACAAAGACCAAAGTAATTCATTTAATTTTACTCATTATATATATGAACATAAACCAGTCAGTCAAACCAAAGTCCAAATCTGTAATAGCTGTGTTAGACTGAGAGCTCTGGCCGAATATTTCTTCAGATTATAAGGAGCGGAGAGATTTGGCAGACCTAGCATGCCAAAATGTTTTGTTAACCAAATTTACTGCTAACAAAGGTTCACCGCACTTCATCCTGACTATCACATTATAATAATAAATGTATTTATTTTAGTAACGTAGTTTGACAATTAAACACAGATATCGTTTTGATGTTTTACACATAACTATCTTTAAAGTGCTGATTTATATTTTTACAGGGCTAAAAACAGCTAAACGTTAATTCCACAGGGAATCTATATGCTATTGTCCACACATAGGAAAGGAAAACTTTGAAAGTGGCACAGGATAACATCTCTATGCCATGCTGCACTAATGTAGCAGTTTAAGCAAAAAAAAAACAACAACAATTGAATGCATATTCAATATCATACAACAATGGAGTAGCCTTTCAACATTTTTTAACAAGAATCCTTATTTAATTAATCTGACTCGGCTCTGATGTAGCAAACTTTCACTCGTATGACCTATCAACTATATCTGCTGTCGGCATCTTCCAAGATGTCCCTATTATGCACATAAACATAATTGGAAGCAACATCACCTTACTAGCTGACATATTAGCGTAAGAACAACTTCCCCCGATCGCAACACATTCATTAAAACTTTCCTCCATTACTGATCTGTGGTCAGTGCTGGATTCAAGCCTCTATTTCCTGTTTTCTACATCCATGCATAATGACGTAATGGACAATGACATAGGGCGCCTTTACGGCGCTTGTTTAATTTGCTTTAATCCAAATGGAAATGGAACATATTGGCATTTAATTTTTTTTTTTTACTTTTAAAAGTTAATTTAAAATTTGAACTTTTAGTTGAATGGAAACGCTACTAGTGAACTCTACCCTCTAAAAAAGGACTGAAACACATTTTTCAGCGCAAAGATTGTAGGTGATGAATGATAACTGAGTTTAATTTTTGTTTTTCCAGGTGTCTGTGTTTGGTTATGGTGCTGACAAGCAAGGGAACTGGCATCACTACTGGGAGGAGAACCGCTACGCCGGAGCCTTCAGGAAGACCGGTGTCCATAGTGCTGACTTTGAAACCGAGGTCATCCGTACCCTCGCTAAGGAAGGAAAGATCAAGCTCTACCTTTAACACTCGGCTTAAGACTGAAGGATCTGGTATTAAACAACCAAATATGAGCCGGAAATGGGCTGCAAGTTTTGTTTTTCTTTTTCTTCAATGGAGGGGTATTTAGACAGCAATCAAAGTGCGTCTTGATTCCTCTAATCACCACATTTGCCTTCAGTAGCTTCCCTTCGGATGCTATTTTTCTTATTTTCGGTCACCTGTGGTCACAGGTTAGAAATTAACTGGTTTAACACAACAGACCCACTGGGCAGCAATTGGATATATTTAGAGAGTCCTGCTGCTTCAAAGTTCAACCTAAACAATGAGCTTTTTATTTTTTTATTCCTTCACTGACTGTCCTGCTGTTGGTGACTGATGGGACTGACCACGTTTTGCTCTGAATAGGAATCAACCACCAAGGTTTTTCAATTTTTTTTATTTTCAAATGGATTCTGTGGACACTATAAGAGGGTAACTTTTTTATTTTAATTTGTTTTATATCTAAAGCACTTTGTAATGAAGGGGAAATGTTGGGGAAAAGCTCAAATAATTTTGTTTACCAACCAAACAGACAAATTGATTTTTTGGCAATCCTGGTTATGATGTGTAAAAGCCATGCATTAAAAGGAGTCTTTAATTAGAGTCACATGATTCTGACTTGAACATTGTAGAAAAATCCAACCGAGACATTTTCTATTTACTCTGTAAAAAAAAAAAAAAAAAAAAAAAAAAAAAAAAAAAGGGAAGAAAAAAAAAAAGGGAAAAAAACAACAACAAAGAAATCACTTCTTTCCATAATCCTCATTGGTAATGCAGCTGTTTGGTCCATAGTTTGAACAAACAGACAAAATGATCTTTGGCACAAAGGCGCTCTCATGACCGCTTATCTTCACCCATGTGTTATCTGTTTACGCTCTGTAGACTGACAGACTATGAAGAAAATCGATTTGGTTTCTAGTCATATGTTTTGCTGTAAAACCTCATGACGGTCTATTTTTAAACCAATGGCAGATGAGGACAGATAAGTTAGTGGGATGGTGTTTATAAAATGAAGGTTCCCAGGGTTTTTGGTGGGGAAGCAGGCCTCCAACATCATTCATCATTCACCATACTTAAGTTGGCATGAAGTGCGTTTCCTGATCTGCCCAAAGCGCTGTTTTCCAGTAAATCTTAAGCTTTTCTTATAGTTAAAAAGGATCTGAGGTTTGAAGACTTTCTAGCCGTAATATGAATCTCAAACCGACGAGCTTTGGAGGTCCTCTTTGCCTCCCCTGCCATCCTGCCTACTGTGTGGTTTCCCAGATAAATATTGGTCCTGATTCAACCAAGAGATCACAAGAATTGAGCCTTTCTGCAAACCTATATATATATATATATATATACACCAAATGATTTATAAAATCACATTAAAAGGCTTTGAATACATTTTTTCTGCAATTATTTTACATACAAAATGATTCTTGGATAATTTGATTACATAATGGGATTTTTTTTTCCACTTGATAAATGTTCTCGTTAAAGGTTGGATTTTATACACTTTTCAGTGCAGGATCGTGCAGCTGCCATAAAAGATTAATTTACTGTTATGATTTTTACTCTCCCATGGGTGCCAACAAATATGTCCCTCTATAAGGAAATATTTAGGGTTTTGTATTCTATTATAATCCCTTCATGATATCTTCCTGGCGCTTAAAACCGTCCTGCTCTATTCAAGCACGACAGGAAGGAGAACTGGAGATTCTTTATTTTGAAAGTCAGCTAGTGATAATTTTACCTTTGCTCAAAATGGCTTCCAGTAGTTTTATCAGTTTTAAATGGTTTAAAGGATAATTCACATCGATTTTACCTTCGGCAATGATTGCGCCGTAAAGTGATGTAAGTTAGCAAGTCTTCCACATGGTTACAATTATCAAATGTAATTCTACAAATACCGTTTCTTTAGATTAGGTCATGACAGTATTGTTCCTGTTCTGCATGGAATTAACAGATAGTTATATAAGCAGATCAGCAGCTCTGAGTGTGGAAACAAAGAAATGATTCATCTCCTGATCACACTTAGATTTAATAGAAGAAAATATAAAATAACTGAACAAGTGACATGACACAGTTGTAGTTTGCATGGATGACATGAAAAGGGAGAACAGCCAAAAAAGAAAAGAGGAAGGCACCGACCTTTTTAGGCAGCCATGACTGCTGCTGCACCTCCAGCTGCACTGTGAATCTACAAAAGGAAAATCTGATGCTGATTGTTAAGATCAACTGAATGTTTGTGATTTGGTTTACATTATTAGGATGTTTTAAAGCCCCCGCGTATCTGTTCTGTTTGTTTTTATCAAGCAATTAAAATGTACGTTTAATGTTTTAAAGGATGTAATAATCGGTTGCACATGCATGTTATGAAATAAAAATCTAGCTAAATTGTAGAATAGCCTTTTAACTCCAAGGGTTAATGGAAAAATGCATATATATATTTTATACATTTGTTTTTTTATATATATATATATATATATATATATATACATAATACAGAAATTTTTAGAAGTTTTAAAAGGTAAACTAAATATACCTAATCTTTGTTACTAATGAATCTAGTAAAATAATTTGTGAAATTGGACAATTACGCCCTAACTCGACTGTGTTAGACTCCACTTGAGTGTAATTTAGGTTTGGGAATGTTTACATCTATTGTTTTGCTGTTGCCTTAATGATTTAAATCATGAACCACTGTGAGAAACTGCCCTGAGACGAATGCTGTCTGAGATGAGCTTCACATCAAAAATGTTCATCCAGAGAAAATGACCACTTTCATTGCATACTTTAAAAATGTTGAAAGTTTACCCAAAGAGACGCCTGCTGGTCGTTAGATGTCAATCACTTCGTCTTTACACTTTAAAAAAAAACTGCTCCTTTTATTTGGATTATTTTTAATGAAGCAGAAGAATTCAAGATGCTGGATATTAATCTGTAATCTGTTGCTCAGTTACTTTTACCAACTCTTTCCTTTTCATTCTGTTCTTGTATCCCGTCTGCAGCGTTGCCTGAAGTCCTTAGTTTAATATGAGACATCTGCTGGTTGTTTGAACCGTTTTCCTTTACATCAACATTTTGCTTTGTCACAGAAAAGTGCTGCCAATAAAATGGTAAATGATCCTTTCTGGCGATTTTCAGAGACTTTGTAATGTTTAGTCTGGCATAAACAGATAAACTTATGTTTATTTTTTCTGACTATAAAACCAAATCTGTGCTGCTCAGACTGTTCATTTTGGTAGTGAGGAGTTTATTTAAACCACGGTAAATGAAGGTGTTTAAAATCGTTCATTATCTTTTTTTTTTTTTTTATTTCCTCTTTCATAAAAGTCCAAATGTCATGAACAGATTAAATCCAAAGCACTGGATGTGTGTTCAGCTTTAATTAGGCTCGTTTTGCTCAGACTGAAGTGGTTGTAGGGTTAAGTTTCCATTCCTACACCAGTTTACAATCAGCATGATGCTCATGCTAAAATGACAGGAGCCCTGTGAGTTCAGCTAAAAGTGCAGAAACATGTATCCACCACTATTCCTATGAATGAAATAAAGGCAAGTGAAACCAAAAAGAGTGGGATTGTTTCCTTTAAATTAATGGGTAAGTTTTTCTAATGTGTTTTCCAATAATTGTTGTTGAAAGTCTTTTTTGTATAATTTCATTATGTTTCACTAAAAATAAAATATCATATTGAGATGGATTAGCATAATCTAAGAACCCAAACTCTTTTTGTAAATCTTTATTGGTAAATTATTAGACATTCATTGGAAAACATTAGATTTTAAACTTCAATAACCCTTTTTTTCAATGCAAACAAAAAAGCAGCGTGTAAAAAGTCACATTTAACTTTAGGTTTTCTATCTGGTGAATTTCCTAAAATATGTTTTAATACTTCCCACTTTTGAAGTTTTTTGTTTTCATTTTATCAAGCCAGTCTGCACCCTTGTATTGCTTCTTACAACCCTTCAACACAATTGACGCTTCAGGTAATTATGTTTAAAAAACCTTCATATAATCCATAATCTATCACTGCTTAAAAAAAAAAAAGGAAAAAATTTCAACAGCTTTGAACAATTTATTCAGCTAGGAAATATGATTGTAACAATTATTCTTTACAAATCACCAGAAGAAAAGGTAGAATGGTGTCATCCAATTGGTTGTTTTGGCAGCATGGCAGAAGAAAAAAAAAACTGATCATAGCAAAAATAAACGTGTACAGTTTGCTAAAGATTTCTTAAGTGTTTTCTGAAATGTTCTTTGGTCAGATAAGACTAAGACTGAGCTTTTGGCAGAAGAACCTGGCATTAAACCGACAGCTAATGGATAGAAAAGTACTTGTATGATGTATAATCCAATTTTAGGAGGGAAATAGAAGCTGCCATTTGAATGTCAATGCGACTTTTTGACAAAAATATAAAGTCGGCCAAAAGAAAGTATGTGTATCACTAAATACATCTATAGTCATGGTCAAGTATGGTGGAGGAACAGTGATGCTGTGGGCCTGTATCTCTTTCAAAGAACCAGGGACTTTATTAGAATACCTCAGATTATTAACTCTAAGATATTAACATTTTAAATTAAAACATCTGCCAGACAATTTCAGCCTTAGTAACCTACAGAAAACTTCAGCAAAAACCAAAGTGCAGGAGATCCTTTGTTCTGCATGCTCCAACACTGGTGGCTGTTATAAACAATTAAAAAGTGGACCAAAGAGAGTTCATTAATAGTTTAATGATGGCAGACATTTTTTACTTCAATTGTTAAAAAGCTAAAAGCTTCTGAAAATGCTGCTCTTTAAAGTGTCTCAAACCTCAATCAATTAAAGCGTATTAAAATGTATAATGTTCAGTCACATGTTTAAGATCATAAATGCTGTGAGCAGACCATGCTAGTAAGCATGATCAGAGGGACCCTATATTCAGGTATGCACCACTTCTTATTAAACAGATGCTCTGGACGCTGTAACACAGTTGGTCTATGATGGTCAGTTTCTTTTACAATAGTTTCTTATAGGCAATTGTTTAACAAAATAAAGAATTCAGTGAAAGTGGGGAACATCTATGCAATGCTTTTACATTTTAACCCTCTTTAAATAAGCTGCTGAAAGAGCAAGTCTTTTGAAAAATAAATAAAACATCAAAACATTCACTTACTGTGTGCTTAAATACCAACAATGTTTGTTTGGTTTTACAATTATTATTTTTTTCATATTTTACATCTATCAGATTTTAACTGAGACTTGACTTACTTAAGCTAATTACTTTTTTTGTAAAAATAACTTTCCTTGAAAAATCAATCTTCTCATCATTCAGAGGTGATTCTTTAAACATCTTAGTGCTGATTTGATAATGTGTCTATAGGGAAAATATTTTGCTTGAGGAAAAAAAATAATTTTTTGTTGTTTTTCTTAACCTAAATGCTGAGTTTTATACTTAAAAAGTCGGCAGCTTGTGCCGGTTTCTGCTGAGTAAAGTGTTAGTAACTTGGAACATAGAGGCAGCTGAAAGCATCACGTTCTTCACATTTCAGGCTCCTTCCTCTCTCAAGTCTTTTAATAAACCTGTGAATAAAGGAAGCGTAGTCCCTCTTTTATTTTCTTTTTTTTTTTTGTGCCCGTTATATCCAGATAACTGGCTTCAGCTAAATTTAGCTTTGGTCCAGGAATGCTTTCAGGAAGAGGAGTTTGTAGCGTGGCAGCTTTGGCTGGTGTCTTGCAGACGTCGCCACAGAATTCCAAAAAGATAAATACATTTAAATAATAAAATAAAGGAAGCAGTTTAGCTTATCTTAAATATAATAGTCCAGTGGAAGGATGTGACTCGCTTTGGAAATTCGCAGCTGATCTCCATCTGCTTGGTGATTCTTCCTTTAGTTGTATAAATAAATTAAGCAGTATTATGTCAATGTTTTCCATCACGTGTTAATGGTAAATCCAGACCTGAGGTTCTTAAGGTTTGCTGGACGAAGACCTGAAGACATCTGAGCCCAAAGTCTGACCTGATCCAGTAATTATCAGGCTTTATCATCTGGTCTTCCTCCTCTGAGGACCCAGTTTATTCCATGGTCATCTGGATGTGTGCGAGCCTCAGGATCTGGACCAGGTTTACGTCAATCAGAGAGAAGCTGGACGAAGGAGGCTGGAAACAAACCTCTCTGGTCTGGTTCATCTTCTATATAACCGTGCTGCACACAGAATAAATACAGTTATTGCAAGAGAAATCTTTTCATTTTCTACATTTGTCATAGAGAAGTTAGTGCATGGATCTAAGTTTTTTTGCCAAGTTCGAATTCAGCAGTTGCGTCCTCCAAAGTCCAGATTTGTCGGCCGATTACGTCAGAGCGTGGCACAGAGGCCTGTTCGGACTGGAAGACTACACATTATGCAGCTGACAAATGCAGCCTTCTTTTTGCCCGTTTTGAATGACAGGTCCGGTGTGTCCTAAGTAGCCTTGGGTATCCCATGATTCATCGAGGCCAAGCAAGCCGGCTGCTTCATGCTCAGAGAAAATAGGTAAATGGCGCCTAATAGTGGTAAATATTGTAAGTGCAGTTTAATGTACCGTAAATCCTCTAATATTGGCCTGTATTCCATTAGTGGTCGGGTCTCTAATAATGGCCTGTCTCGCTGTTGGTGGAGGTAAATAATGGCCGGACTCTTATACAGGCCGGGGCTATAATTAGAACCTATGATGCTCCTGGGCAGTCCTCAACAACTTGTGATAGTAACATACAGGTACCACAGGGGGACAATGTTTGTTAACGAATCCAAGCCATTAGAATGGGAAGTCCCATCCTTACACAGAGATTGTAGTGGCCTTACATAATCGTTCTGATGTGAAAGACAAATGTCATTACCAGTAGGTCTGGTGGTAACCAGGCAGCGTTAAAATGACAGAATTTTGTTTGCCTTCGTTGTTCTGAATTTCCCTTGAAATATATGATACTGGTAGCCTACTTCCACTTAGCCTGCCTGAAATAAAATTTAGCTGTGATGGCAGAACAGTTTCCATTAATTTTTTTTTAAACTTTGTTTCGCAAGTCAGTTTGGCCAAGATTCCATTCTGTGTCTTTTATTTTTGTATTGCCGTACAGAAAATTTGCAGCTGCTGGAAGATGTCTGAATAATGTTCTGTATACTGTTATGGTAACTGTACATTTTCAATAAATGAATTTTTTTTTTATACATTCCACTGGTAGTCTGTTTTGATGAAATAGAAATAGAGGCCTGCCTCTTATTCTGGCCTCCTTCCAATAATGGCCTGGACCAAGATGTACCTAAGTGAAATAAAGGCCCCGTCCTATATTAGAGGATTCACGGTAATACAAGTATGTGAATAGTTCCATCTGCAATTAATGCAAATATTTGTTTTAAATGGTTATTGAATTAGATAAGTGGTACAGTATGTAATAAGTTTATTGAAAGACGTGCAGGTGACGCAGTGGTTAGCTTGCACGGGCCATGTACGGAGGCCTTAGTCCTCGACCCGGCTGACCTGGGTTCGAATCTGACCTGTTGCCGCATGTCTCTCCCCCTCTCATACCCCCTTTCCTGTCAGCCTACTTTCGAAATAACGAGCCACTATTGCCGCAAAAACACCCCCAAAAAAACATTTCATTGTAAGGTTTTATCTATCCCTGTGCATAGGGTTTGGTTGACATTTAAACACAGATTCCAAAAAAACTGCAGTGTGGGGACAATATATACGATATTCGTGATGACGGCACTGCTGCTGAAGCACCTAGAAAATGTTACTAGCACCCAAAACATGTAAACTGTCACGGGTTCTAGACGACTCAGCGTACGTGCGGTGAAAGCAAGAGAAGGCTGGACCTGTTTGAATCCATAGCCAAAACTCTTCCAGCCTCCTTATTTTCACAGACCTCCAAGGACCCAGTCCACCTAGACTGGGTCCTTGGAGGACGCAGCCTTTGAAATCGAAAAAACCCAATGACAGACTGTGAGAGTTCCCTAATCCTGTCAGTTTGGATCGACCAATCAGAACAGAGAATGCTGATACTCACCCACCAATCACTGTCCTCTTGCCCAAGAACCACCAACACCTGACCCTCTGAGAAGCTCAGTTCATCATGGTGGTCTGCTTCACAGTCATACAGAGCCTGAGCTCGCCGACTGGTTGCTCCGCGCGGCTGATGGACAACAAAAAAACGGATCAAAAGTCAGCATCAACATGCGTCAGGCATGTAGCCAGAAGTACAATAAATATGTGAAACAGTTTAACTGTTTGGATCAAACACAAAAAGAACAAGCTCACTCCATGAAACAAATGGATCTCACCAGTGATCTGCGAGGAAGCGGTTGAGGGGTGGGGCCTCTGCCGTCGCTCTCAAAGCTCTGAGAGCGCTGGCTGATCGGGGACCCATTCAGGGCAGCTTTACTGGCCGGGTAGAGGAAATGGGAGGAGCTACCTTCACTTTCTGTCCGTCGAAAACCTACAAGAGAAAGTAATTTAAGAATGCCAAGTTATTCTAAAGAGTGTTTTATTTTACATATTGAATTAATCTGCTGCTGCTTTCTTAATAGGAAAAAAACATAAGATGGTGTTGAGTTTTACAATGAAAGTAATTGTACAAGGTTGGATAAATTGCATTTTAATATGAACTACATTTTGGAACTAAACTGAAAGAATCCTAAATTGAGTTATTAAATGTTTATACATTCACAGGTGTCCAAACAGGCCAAGGATGAGAAACACAAGGAAGAAAGCACATCACTGTTTCTTTCTTTAGTCAAAGCTCTACGTCAAGCTTTAAAATGCTGGGTTACCTTTAGAAAGAGATTTTGAGCTCAGTGCCAGACAAGGTTTAATTTAGTTTTTAATCATTTTGTCAGGTAGTGTAGTTTTAGTTTAGTTTTTATTAGTTTCCATTATAGTTTTAGTCTTCTATGTAATATGACTTACTTACCAAATGACCTGCCTGCCATACCTGCCATCTGCTGGTTTAATGTGGAAGAGCGGAAAAAACTGAAAAAGCAACCAGAAACTAGACCTGATATTAATGCTTTATGATTAAAAACACATACAAAACACCCTATCTTACAGTTTAAGTTTGTTTTAACTTGTTTTTTGACCTTTTATTTTTCTTATTTCAGTTAATGAAATTCTTAATAAAATTCTAGTTTTTCTCATTTTGTTGGTTTTAGTTAAGAATAATGACTTCGGTGTGACATTCTTTACAGTCTGGATATACTCACTGTTTTACATCATTGCTTAGATACAAATGATGAAATACTGAAAACCTTTCAGACAAGATAGGAATATCTGGTGAGAAAAAACAACTACCCTGGAAATACCCAGGGCCGAAAACAGTTGCAGTCTTGAAATTATGGAACCCACAATTTAAAAAAAAAAAGGGGGAAAGGACAGAAATGTTCATGCCTCAATGGTTAAAGATAGCTTGAGGAGGCAGTCAGCAGCCAGACCACTGAGGCATCTGCAGTTTGTGAGCATACAGAAAATGCTTTCAATATCATGAATGCATCAGTTTCTGTCTGCAGGTTGTTCCACAGACAAATCAGTGCGCTGACCACAGAGGTTATTTAAATTCCAGCCCAGGGCATAGGTTTGTAAAGTTTCCAAGTTCTCAGACTGTTTCTATCTGTCCTCTTCAATTGATACAAAGCCAAACAAATCTTCACTTAGGTCAAGCTGTTTCCACTTCCATGTATTAATGGCCAGGTTCAACTTCAATCGATTGCTCTTTGCAAGATTCGGTTCTGTTCTTGGTTTCGGTTTGGTGCTGTATTTTTCATACTTCTATATTTCTGAAAAGGAAATTAATCTAGAGATTGACAAGCTAGAATGATGACACTCATACTGCATGGATGGATCCTTTCCAAAGAGAAAGATGCTTTTTATTTTTTTTTTTACTTTTCTTCTTTTTTCCAGCTTTGTTTTTTAACTTAGCTGATATGTTGTGTTATACTAGGACAGGATGTGTGTGTGCATGTGTCTGTGTCTTCTTACAAGTTAGTTTTTATGTGCTGAGGAGAAAAGGGAATTGTCTAGTTATACATACATTATAAATGGCAATAATACAATTATATTGTTAGATAATATTATGTAAGTAGATAATGGGATGTTTATCTCACTTTTATACAGAAACGGATCAGTGCCATTAAAAAGGTTACAATAAAAGCCAATGAATTCTGACTGCTCTCAGAATTAAAAATCGAATTAAGTAGAACTCTATCGCTAAAGCCCAGGATTATCACTTTAACGAATTAGGAATATTACAAGTAGGCATAATTCTATGATATTAATTCTGAGATTAAAGTCAGAAGTCTGATTAAAGTCTTGTTTTGTTCTTGCTTTTTAATGGCCCTTATCCTCTTCTGTACTGTAAGTATATATTATATAGCATTCTCTGGGATGTGGTATGGAATAATATTTTTCCTTGGCCTATTTGTGAGATAAAATGTTTGCCTGTTTGAATAGGAGTAATGATAGAGACATCCTGTCTTTCACTATGCTGTACTGTTTAGGGGGACAGAAATCAGATGCCTCCCTACTCTAGACAAGGGTGTAGGGAAGGTCATGATAGATAATGAGTTCACAAAGCCTCCTTCATGTCGTGGTTAAAATTTATGTCTTTGATGAACTGAAGACCCAATGTTCGTGTGTGAAAATTCTCTTTATGCCCTTCCCACCCCTATGCAGGGGTGGGAAGCTACCTCACCAGAGCCACACTAACAGTTCAGCTGTTTATGTCGTTCTCCTCTGCAGAGTAAAATAAAACCTTTTCTTCCTTGTGTATTGCCTCTTACTGCTCATTTTTAATTCACATTGGTTTTCCAAAAATGGTCTCTGAACCCTAGTTTTCTCAAAGGCAAAGTTTTAATAAGGAATAAATTTAATGACAATAAAAAAAATGTTTGGCTCAGAACTTATTCAGTTCTTCCTGTCATTAAAAGTCTACTGTATTTTAATGTAGCTCTTTTTGAATCTTCGATGTCTGCATAGAAGGCCTATGAGGCAAGTAAAAAATTGTTATATTGTCAAATACTCATAAAACTGTTAAATTATTTTAATATAATGTTATTAGGGTTTTGCAACAATACCCTAATAATGTTGAAACTGGACCTGGACCCCTTTGCATTCAGATGCAAACTGGCTTTTCTTTAATAGGTCTTAAATAGTTTTGACTATTAATAAATAGATGTAAGTAATTCTTTTTTCTTTTTTTTAAATGGTTTGTTTATTTTAAATGGTGGTCCTCCCACCGGGGAAAATGTTAAAAACAACAGTTAAACCTGGCAGAGCAAAGAGTCTAGTGGATGCCTCTGAACAGAAAAAGTACCTCTGTCTGGTCGTTCCGTCAGCGAGCTGAGAGGAGAGGATGGACTGGAGAGAGAGAGAGAGAGACAAGAGATGATTTACATGTGTTGTTATCCTTTAGATCAGTTTTGTTGCTGTAGATTCTCAGTCATCCAGGATGTAGTAAAGCCAAAGAAATGTTTAAAAAACAAAGCAGTTCAGCAGCCTCTGTTCTTGTAGTTGAAAACTGCTCTTCATCCAAGGTGCATCAGGCTCAGTGCTAAACTGAGTGATTTTAAAAGCAAAAATCTGAAGTCTGATGTAGTTTTTCTCATTTCATTTAGCCTTTAGCAAAAAGTAGTAAAAAAGTTATTTTTTTAAAGCACACTTAGGCTGGAACAAGTATAGGAAAAAGTATTACAGACCATGTACAGTAATTATAGTGAACTTGAACGGATACCAATTTATTGCTTCTGGGGACTAAATTAGCAGTTCTAAAGAACTCAAATTTTTGATAAATTTTGGCTCCAGTGGACAAAAGCCTGGTAAAATCCTGATCTCCCAGTCGCCTGCAGTTGGATTGAACTACATTTCTGTTTCCAGTGGCTGTTTGAAGGGTGAATAGTGAAGAGGAAATACATCTAACTGTGGCAAAACAATGTCATATGACGATGCAGAAAATAAGAAACACTTTTGTACGGTACTCCTGCCCGACCCGTCAGTGACTGATGTTCTGACAGGTGAAACAGATAAATATATGTTATCTTTGATCATTTAACAATAAACACAAGTATAGATCAAGCAGGAAGGTGACGCATTGCCTAAATATTCACCCTGCACAGTTTACACAAATATACAGTTCCTCATGGAAATGAAGTCTGCCTGCCGACATTTTATTTATAGTTTAGTGATAGCTTTAACAGGCTATTCAGGAGAATGACTGAACATTTCGAACTACAAGGACTAAAGCTCATTTTGTTTTTTAACCATGGTTGGATTTTACTTGTAACCAGTAGAGGGCAGTATAATTTACATGGAGAAGCTCATCGATTCTCCAACACTGACTGCAATAATAATCAACAAGAATCATCTGTATGCAAAGTTTCTATTTAAACATTATATATATTAATAAAAGAACAAAACTACATATTCCTACATACTTCTACTACTACATACTTTCTGTTTGTGTTAAAATACAGTGTAATTATAACTGAATTACTTACACACACTTCTTAAAGGAGGAGTCTTGGCTGTAAATCCGGGGACTGGTTGGCAACCCATGATCTGTAAACACACTGAGTTAATGACAGAGTTCCTCTGACACACTAACTGTGGGCTGCCTCTGATATTACCCTGCTTATTAGACTCAGAGCAGGTCCTCTTGTGCCTGGCAGCGATGGGAGGGGGAGGCGGCGTCTTTCTGTTTCCTGACATGGGGAAGAAAACCTCCCCCTCTTCCTCCTCTTCATCCCTGAGTCCATCGCCCCCAGTCGGGGGAGGAGGAGGAGGAACACAAGGGGCTAAAAGATAAAGAGATATTTAGGATTAAACAGAAAGTTTAGCTTTTTCTCTGTTCAAATTCACCAGAATGAAATTAGTTGCAGAGCAGCTAAGATGTTATCTATTTGTGCCAACATTGCTAACACAGCATCCGATAAGCAGAGGAGGATTGCCTTTTGTTTGGTTTTGTTTTTGTAATTGGACAATCATTAATGCAACAATGAATGCATCAACAACAGAGCAGGCATTGTCCTCTCAACATAATTAACTGGTAACCTTGAGTTGAAGCTGAGATTAACATTTTTTTTCTGAAAGTAATTTTCAAGATGACGCTCTTCCAAACACGTTTCCGCTGCTGAAAAGCTCACATGGAAAGCTCAGTGTGAAATGTGTGAACTCAGTTAATTAGAGAACAAAATGCTTGGGAAATTTACGCATGAGAGTTTTTCTCCACATATTATTGGAGCTGTAAGTGTTTCTGTTGGAAGCAAACAAATAAAAAAAAAATGTTTTGTTTTTTTTGTAGAAATGAACTAAAAATAGGTCCAACTCAATATCTGTTGTATTCAGAGATATTAATATGATACAACTTGAATGTGAACTCACCTTTGACCCGTGGCGGCAGAGGGGGTGCGGGGGAGGATGGAGGGGGAGGAGGAGGGCTGGGGGCAGAACCGGTGGGACGGCTGTGCAGGTCCATGGCCATTGCCAATCTCCTTCCGACGCTGAGGAGACCTCCTCCTTGTCCTCCAGATGAGGGGAGGACAACAGAGCAGGAGGAGGAGGAGGAGTTGGAGGACTGACTCAAGTTGAAAGGACGGCAAGAGAAGGAGAACGAGGGGGTGAAAACTGAGGATGACGAAGACGAGGAGCGCTCCTTCTTTACTGGACCATTCTGAAACAAGAGAAGCACAGAAAGATAAACAACAATTAAAATAGCTGGCAGGAGTCGAATATAATAGAAAAAAGTAGAATATAATAGAACAGAAAAGAGTAGAGTAGAATGGAATAGAATAGAACAGAAAAGAATACAATAGAACAGAAAAGAGTACAATAGAATAGAATAGAACAGAAAAAAATAGAATAGAACATAAAAGAATAGAATAGAACAGAACAGGAAAGAGTAGAATAGAATAGAATAGAATAGAATAGAATAGAATAGAATAGAATAGAATAGAATAGAATAGAATAGGAAAGAAAAGAATAGAATACAACAGAAAAAATAGAATAGAACATAAAAGAATAGAATAGAACAGAACAGGAAAGAGTAGAATAGAATAGAATAGAAAAAAGTAGAATAGAATAGAACAGGAAAGAGTAGAAGAGAATAGAACAGAAAAGAAAAGAATAGAATACAACAGAAAAAAGAATAAAATAAAATAGAACAGAAAAGAGTAGAATAGAATAGAACAGAAAAGAGTTCAATAGAATAGAATAGAACAGAAAAGAATAGAACCGAACAGAAAATAATAGAACAGAACATAAAAGAGTAGAATAGAAGAGAATTGAATACAAAAGAAAAGACTAGAATAGAATAGAACAGAATAGAGTTGAATAGAAGGCCAAGTCATGGTTACCCTGTCATCAAAGTCATCATCACTGTCATACAAATCATCATGGCGAAGCCTCCACTCATACTCTACATGGACATGATGGTCAAACTGGTTGGACTGGGCCTGCTGCAGCTGCAATCACATATCAGACATTGATTAGGGGAAACCTTGAAACAGCCAGCCTGTCCAAGTGAAAAGAATCAATGCTTCATTCAAGATCTAAAATGCTTTCGGGTTGTTTTTTTTGTTTTTTTGGGGGGCTGATTGCAGATTGGTAGATTTTTTTTTGTCATGATTAGGATTACATAACTGCCTGAAATCTATGTCCACTATGGCCTCAAATTGCTTTGCTCTTAACTCGCAGTTTGTATATTGGTTTTATATGTTGGTTAGAGTTTCTAATTATGAATAGAATTACAAAGAAAAAACAGACAATTTAAACTTTGATTAAAAGGAATAAATCGAAGAAATACTCCAACTGAGGATCTCACCAGAGCTTCACATTCACTGTGCTTCAGTTTGCGGCTCACATCCAGAGCGGTTTCTCCTAACTCGTTCTCTGCAGCACAAAAACAATGATGTTACATGATGCTGATTATCTGGACAAAAAACAAAGACTACATTTTTCTTTTAAGAGGAAATAAATAAATAAAACTTACACAACACAATAAGTAAAAACTTAGATTAAAAAATAAAAAATGCACTATATATACTATATATAGGTATATATATATATATATATATATCCCATGCACCTTTTTTCTTCCTTTGGCACATTCTTCTTCTCCTTTGACTATTTTAGCTGATGTAACAAGTACATTTCTCCACTGTGAGATCAGTAAAGTCAATCAATCAATCAAAACAGGCTTATATGGGAAGGCAACCAGATTTTAACTCAGTTTTTATTCTGAAGACATTTTGACACCAAGGAGTCGAAACGTCTTCAGAAAAGAACAGAGCCAAATTCCAGTTACCTTCCAGTTTAAGCCTGTTTTGCTGTAGCCATGACCCAGATGACTGAGAATTTACAAAGACATAAAACTTACAATGTAAGGATCTAAAGCATTTCCTCTAATTTCAGTGTTCCTCCACAACAACTATTAATGTAAGAAGTAAAACAATAACAATAATCTGCAGATGTATTCCTGTTTAGTTCCAATAGAGGTACTAATTAACTTCTAGGAAAGAAATCCCTCCCAATCAACTATTTAAATAAACTCTACATTAATATTGTATTTGAGGCTAAACTTTTGGTTTATTCAGGAGGCAGATAAGTATTGCTGTGCATGTGTGACTGTATTACTGAGGTGTATGTTGGCTCTGGCTCTCAGCAGCAGTTTCACACAGTCACTCTTGTTATGCAGACAGCTGTAGTGCAGCGCAGTGTTTCCTGCTGACGTCTGTACGTCCACATTAGAGCTGGAAAAAAGAGAAAACCTATGCAAGTAATCATGCAGGTGTGAACATCACCACTCTCTGAGGCGTAAAAACTGCGAAGCATCATCACAGCAGACTGACCAGTTCTGGGCCAGGAAGTCCAGGATGTGCAGCGACGTCCTGTCAGCAAATAGAACGGCTAAATGGAGAGCCGTCTCCCCTTTCTCCTGTGGATGTGTAATAACAGGTTATGAAATATATAACGTAATAAGTCTGAAATGTTTAACTGTGTATTTACTTTAATACAAATATTGAAACAGTCAAATAAAATTGAAGATAAAGCTAACCTTAGAGGTGGGCTTATATCATATCATTTATCGTTATCATAATACATTTCTAGTCATGATTAAAAGTTCAATTGATCATCCAAACAATAAATTAGAATTGTATTTTGTAATATTTTTATTTTTTTTATTTTTTATTTTGATAAAATCCGGCATCAATATATTGAAAGATTATGAATAAATACATTTATGTTTAGTGGTATAAATCACGCTTCTTTATTTATTTTCTGTATTCATCTTGTATCTTGAAAACGACTATATCAAACATTTGAATTTGTTGCAGAGCAGCAGAAATCTTCCAGGAAAGAACCAAAACGTCTTCAAACTTGGAAAACAAAGTCCAGTGGTTTGTTTTTAACTTTTAAAAACTTTTTTGGAGTTACCTAAAATTGACTTTAAAGTATGAATAAAGTGATTCCTTTTAATCCGCCATTTTAATGTTATCACAATAATACCAAAAAACATTTTAAAAGATTTTAAGGCCAGCCATCAGTGCCCCAAGTAAAGGTGTTTAGAAAGGTCTAAAATAAACAAATCTTTTATTGCAACAGAACAATCTCACAGTGGAAATCTTATTTAAACACAAACATATGAAGTAATACATTTGAGGAACAAAAATAAGCTTTTTACAAAAACAGCAGCTTTCTGTTTTATCTATTTGTTTCAGATAATCAGAGTTTCAAGAAAGGTTTCTAAAGGTGTTTTGATCAGTATCACATGACCTTTTTCTCAGCTCATTTCTCTCAAAGTAGAGCCTCTCATTGCACCCATACTGAGCTGTGCTGATGCTCTATTGCCAGATTTAGCTAAATCTGCCTGTATATGCAGTCAGATGCAAAGAGTAGTTTAACACAACTAAATAATGTTCATTTTACCATCACACTCAGTGTTGAAGATGGCAAGAGAAAAAAATAAACCTCCAAAAGTCACCATAAGAGAAATAAAGCACAGAGTGGCCTGTGTGGGTCAGCAGATCTATATGACTAGAAGCTATCTACATGCCAAAAGGATCATTGACAAGAATACCAGGGGGAAAAAAAGGAGTTTGCTAAACTCTAATTTGGGTTTTAATTGATAATTTGCGCTTTAGCCATTGAGAATAGAACTGAGCTTTTCTGCAATAAGCATTTCTAATGAGTTTTTGCTTAATATCAAAGAATGAATGAGTGAAAATCCCCGATGATGCCGAGAGCTGAGAGTTTCTCTTTGAAGAGAAAAACCTTTAGAATGCACAGTATTATTAATGCTTTAAATGAATTGGCTAAATAACAGAAAAATCTGGTAAAATTGGATAGAAAACTGAAAACGAGTGTCATTGAGGCAAAAATAATAAACTGTAAAAAAAAAAAATACTTTTTATCTTTAACATCAGTGGTTCCAAACTGTCACAATATGTGGCATTTTTTTTTCTTTTACACAGAACAAAAAAGTAAACATTTTTAAAGGTGGGATTTTTTTTTTCTCTCATTTCCACTCCAAGTATTGTGGGTTTTTTTTTACACAATCTACACAGAAGCAGGGGAGAAGTGTGAATAACCTTAATATATTTATCTGCAGTTGAAAACTATTTACTTAAAGGGTAAGAAAAAAATCCTGAAGTTCCTTCAGCCAGATAAACAGAAACTGTAAAGGTGTGAACATGATAGATTTGGACATGTCACCTGTATGTGTGTGTGCAGAGGCTGGCTCAGCTCGGCCCTCTGGGCGTAAAGCTGGATCAGGCTGTAGATGTCGCAGCTCTTAGTCGCCTCCTGCAGGCCCAGCCTCAGCGCAGCCGAGGAACTGCTGAACCTCCTCACAAAATGAACATCCTGATACTTTGACAGGATGAAATCTTTGCGCTCCGCCCTGCCAGGCACACAGTGATTCAGATCCTTAGATTTATGTTTTTTGTAATAAAACTACATGTGGTGTGTAGCTTACATGTGGCTGTGCTGGGAGGGCTTCTGCGATGGACTGAGTAGATTAGCCTCCAATATTTCATTAAAGCCAGAGTTACCAACATTTCGAGCCAGCTGAAACACATGTTAGAGAACAGCAGGTTAGCATTGACTAATTTTATGTTAATAGAAAAATAAATTACACACACAAAAAACTAGTTTTCTCAGTTGTAAACCTTAAAAGCAGAACTTGGCGACGGCTGAACCATAAACTGCCTTATTGACAAAATGTTCCTAATAAAACCTGAGCTTGGGAACAAAATATATTCAAAGTTAATTAGCTTCTGTGTCCCTTATAGTAACAGTCCATCTCAGTGATTCAGAGCCTTAACCCTTTCTGACCTTAATTCGAACAGCAGCCTAACATGTTGATGTAACATCTGAATGAAGATGGGGTGCTTATCCAGCGTCACCTCCAATGAAAGGATGGAAGGATGCAATAATGGGTGGATTCAACTATGCTGTAATAAATGCTCTAAATTTAACTTTCCTTTCTGTGGTCTGTCTAAAAATGTATTCCACATTATTATGGAATGCACAAAACTAAAGACCATTTTTGGCTTCTTAATAAGTGTTTTTAATCCTTTTGGGATGGTTTTTACAAATTCTCTATTCATAGGAGGAGTTTGCCAGAACAAAAGAAATAAGCCTAAGGCCTGACTTTTAAGTTGTTTAATCAAAGAGCAAAGATGGCTATTTATTTTCCCACAGAGACAGACTTCAGGAAGGACCTCACCTTGATGCTGTGGCTCTGTGGAAGTGCAACATTAAAGCCAGAATAAGGGTGGAATTTCACTTCCACGGAGCCACACAAAACATTGAGGATTTTATGCAGTTGTGGGGTTTTAAAAAAAAAAGAAATGTATGTACTGATGATGGAGAACTACAATATAACAAGCTCCTCCTTTAAAGGTATAGTGAAGGATTTTCACGAATTTTTGTAAAGCCCTGCCCTCTCCACTTTCAAAACAAATGCACATGCACAACCCTGTAACCGCGTGCAAGAGCGTGCACAAGCCCATTCCTCCTTGTGCACGCTCTGTTTAAAAGTTGCTGTGTGCATCGCTCATACAAGCTTACTTTCCAAAAGAAGATTTGCAATTNGATGCATCGCATTATTTCAAGTATCGTGATGCATCGTGATAGAATCGCATCGTGGCATGTGAATCGTGATTCGAATCGAATCATGACTTCTTTGCCAATACCCACCCCTATATCCCATGCACCTTTTTCTTCCTTTGGCACATTCTTCTTCTCCTTTGACTATTTTAGCTGATGTAACAAGTACATTTCTCCACTGTGAGATCAGTAAAGTCAATCAATCAATCAAAACAGGCTTATATGGGAAGGCAACCAGATTTTAACTCAGTTTTTATTCTGAAGACATTTTGACACCAAGGAGTCGAAACGTCTTCAGAAAAGAACAGAGCCAAATTCCAGTTACCTTCCAGTTTAAGCCTGTTTTGCTGTAGCCATGACCCAGATGACTGAGAATTTACAAAGACATAAAACTTACAATGTAAGGATCTAAAGCATTTCCTCTAATTTCAGTGTTCTTCCACAACAATAATTAATGCAATTAATGCAAGAAGTAAAACAATAACAATAATCTGCAGATGTATTCCTGTTTAGTTCCAATAGAGGTACTAATTAACTTCTAGGAAAGAAATCCCTCCCAATCAACTATTTAAATAAACTCTACATTAATATTGTGTTTGAGGCTGAAACTTTTGGTTTATTCAGAAGGCAGATAAGTATTGCTGTGCATGTGTGACTGTATTACTGAGGTGTATGTTGGCTCTGGCTCTCAGCAGCAGTTTCACACAGTCACTCTTGTTATGCAGACAGCTGTAGTGCAGCGCAGTGTTTCCTGCTGACGTCTGTACGTCCACATTAGAGCTGGAAAAAAGAGAAAACCTATGCAAGTAATCATGCAGGTGTGAACATCACCACTCTCTGAGGCGTAAAAACTGCGAAGCATCATCACAGCAGACTGACCAGTTCTGGGCCAGGAAGTCCAGGATGTGCAGCGACGTCCTGTCAGCAAATAGAACGGCTAAATGGAGAGCCGTCTCCCCTTTCTCCTGTGGATGTGTAATAACAGGTTATGAAATATATAACGTAATAAGTCTGAAATGTTTAACTGTGTATTTACTTTAATACAAATATTGAAACAGTCAAATAAAATTGAAGATAAAGCTAACCTTAGAGGTGGGCTTATATCATATCATTTATCGTTATCATAATACATTTCTAGTCATGATTAAAAGTTCAATTGATCATCCAAACAATAAATTAGAATTGTATTTTGTAATATTTTTATTTTTTTTATTTTTTATTTTGATAAAATCCGGCATCAATATATTGAAAGATTATGAATAAATACATTTATGTTTAGTGGTATAAATCACGCTTCTTTATTTATTTTCTGTATTCATCTTGTATCTTGAAAACGACTATATCAAACATTTGAATTTGTTGCAGAGCAGCAGAAATCTTCCAGGAAAGACGCGAAACGTCTTCAAACTTGGAAAACAAAGTCCAGTGGTTTGTTTTTAACTTTTAAAAACTTTTTTGGAGTTACCTAAAATTGACTTTAAAGTATGAATAAAGTGATTCCTTTTAATCCGCCATTTTAATGTTATCACAATAATACCAAAAAACATTTTAAAAGATTTTAAGGCCAGCCATCAGTGCCCCAAGTAAAGGTGTTTAGAAAGGTCTAAAATAAACAAATCTTTTATTGCAACAGAACAATCTCACAGTGGAAATCTTATTTAAACACAAACATATGAAGTAATACATTTGAGGAACAAAAATAAGCTTTTTACAAAAACAGCAGCTTTCTGTTTTATCTATTTGTTTCAGATAATCAGAGTTTCAAGAAAGGTTTCTAAAGGTGTTTTGATCAGTATCACATGACCTTTTTCTCAGCTCATTTCTCTCAAAGTAGAGCCTCTCATTGCACCCATACTGAGCTGTGCTGATGCTCTATTGCCAGATTTAGCTAAATCTGCCTGTATATGCAGTCAGATGCAAAGAGTAGTTTAACACAACTAAATAATGTTCATTTTACCATCACACTCAGTGTTGAAGATGGCAAGAGAAAAAAATAAACCTCCAAAAGTCACCATAAGAGAAATAAAGCACAGAGTGGCCTGTGTGGGTCAGCAGATCTATATGACTAGAAGCTATCTACATGCCAAAAGGATCATTGACAAGAATACCAGGGGGAAAAAAAGGAGTTTGCTAAACTCTAATTTGGGTTTTAATTGATAATTTGCGCTTTAGCCATTGAGAATAGAACTGAGCTTTTCTGCAATAAGCATTTCTAATGAGTTTTTGCTTAATATCAAAGAATGAATGAGTGAAAATCCCCGATGATGCCGAGAGCTGAGAGTTTCTCTTTGAAGAGAAAAACCTTTAGAATGCACAGTATTATTAATGCTTTAAATGAATTGGCTAAATAACAGAAAAATCTGGTAAAATTGGATAGAAAACTGAAAACGAGTGTCATTGAGGCAAAAATAATAAACTGTAAAAAAAAAAAATACTTTTTATCTTTAACATCAGTGGTTCCAAACTGTCACAATATGTGGCATTTTTTTTTCTTTTACACAGAACAAAAAAGTAAACATTTTTAAAGGTGGGATTTTTTTTTTCTCTCATTTCCACTCCAAGTATTGTGGGTTTTTTTTTACACAATCTACACAGAAGCAGGGGAGAAGTGTGAATAACCTTAATATATTTATCTGCAGTTGAAAACTATTTACTTAAAGGGTAAGAAAAAAATCCTGAAGTTCCTTCAGCCAGATAAACAGAAACTGTAAAGGTGTGAACATGATAGATTTGGACATGTCACCTGTATGTGTGTGTGCAGAGGCTGGCTCAGCTCGGCCCTCTGGGCGTAAAGCTGGATCAGGCTGTAGATGTCGCAGCTCTTAGTCGCCTCCTGCAGGCCCAGCCTCAGCGCAGCCGAGGAACTGCTGAACCTCCTCACAAAATGAACATCCTGATACTTTGACAGGATGAAATCTTTGCGCTCCGCCCTGCCAGGCACACAGTGATTCAGATCCATAGATTTATGTTTTTTGTAATAAAACTACATGTGGTGTGTAGCTTACATGTGGCTGTGCTGGGAGGGCTTCTGCGATGGACTGAGTAGATTAGCCTCCAATATTTCATTAAAGCCAGAGTTACCAACATTTCGAGCCAGCTGAAACACATGTTAGAGAACAGCAGGTTAGCATTGACTAATTTTATGTTAATAGAAAAATAAATTACACACACAAAAAACTAGTTTTCTCAGTTGTAAACCTTAAAAGCAGAACTTGGCGACAGCTGAACCATAAACTGCCTTATTGACAAAATGTTCCTAATAAAACCTGAGCTTGGGAACAAAATATATTCAAAGTTAATTAGCTTCTGTGTCCCTTATAGTAACAGTCCATCTCAGTGATTCAGAGCCTTAACCCTTTCTGACCTTAATTCGAACAGCAGCCTAACATGTTGATGTAACATCTGAATGAAGATGGGGTGCTTATCCAGCGTCACCTCCAATGAAAGGATGGAAGGATGCAATAATGGGTGGATTCAACTATGCTGTAATAAATGCTCTAAATTTAACTTTCCTTTCTGTGGTCTGTCTAAAAATGTATTCCACATTATTATGGAATGCACAAAACTAAAGACCATTTTTGGCTTCTTAATAAGTGTTTTTAATCCTTTTGGGATGGTTTTTACAAATTCTCTATTCATAGGAGGAGTTTGCCAGAACAAAAGAAATAAGCCTAAGGCCTGACTTTTAAGTTGTTTAATCAAAGAGCAAAGATGGCTATTTATTTTCCCACAGAGACAGACTTCAGGAAGGACCTCACCTTGATGCTGTGGCTCTGTGGAAGTGCAACATTAAAGCCAGAATAAGGGTGGAGTTTCACTTCCACGGAGCCACACAAAACATTGAGGATTTTATGCAGTTGTGGGGTTTTAAAAGAAAAAAAATGCATGTACTGTGTCAGATGATGGAGAACTACAATATAACAAGCTCCTCCTTTAAAGGTATAGTGGAGGATTTTCACGAATTTTTGTAAAGACCTGCCATCTCCACTTTTAAGAACAATTGCACGTGCACAACCCTGTAACCGCTCCCGAGAGTTTACGCCTTTTAAACGCGTGCAAGAGCATGCACAAGCCCATTTCTCCTTGTGCACGCTCTGTTTAAAATTTGCTGTGTGCATCGCTCATACAAGCTTACTTTCCAAAAGAAGATTTGCAATTTTTCCACTATGTCAGACTCACCACTGGTAAGTGAAAATGGGGACGAGTGCGAGGATGACCTAACATAAACATATCACCAGAATGATTGACAATTAGGAGGACCACTTATTTTGATGATCCACCCGGAAAATGAACCTCCTCCACTATACCTTTAAGTTATTTTTAGCTGACACGTTTTTACATAAATAGATTTTTAACTGACATTTGCTTTAAATAAATAATTGATTATATTGTTTTGATTTAGTAAATGAATTGTTTTTAAAAGTCAACTTTTTACGCAGAGCACCTGAGGCCAAAAACAGAACCAATAGATCATCAAATATGTGATAGACGCTCCTCACCAGTAGGTCTGAGGTTCCCAGGCTGTCCAGGCTTAGAGACTTGATCCTGGATACATGGACCCCCATCTCCCTGTGGATCCCTGAACACTCGATACAGGTCAGGATGCCTAAATTCGTTGAGACCCATCCAGGATCTGCAGAAAAGGAGAAATGTGATTCGTAATTTGGAAACAAAAGGAGAAACCAAATAGGACGTACTAATTGGTTGACACGCAGGTGTTACCTGGAGCGCCACAGTCACAGCAGTTGTTGTTTCCTGGCATCCTGCGGATGTCATCAGTGATGGCCCGGGTCAGGTCCTCCACACTGTTTTCAGCCCCACCCCCTCCCCTTCTGCCCCCATCCAGGGCCATGCTAAGAGCCTCCTGCTTGCTGTTACTGAGCACCGAGATCCATCTAAACAAAACCCCCAAAAAATAAAACTTAAATTAACTTAGTTTTCTTTTTCATGCATTACTTTAAAAGCTTCCTTTAAATACTTTAATGGTAAAACACTGCACCTTTAATATCTTACTCCTTGTTCCACGTACATCTAGTTTAATAAATAGAGACACATATTACCCATAATTCAAATAAACTCAGATAGTGGAACTGTGCTTCTCGTATGCAAATATATAACAGGCTATGTTTTGTTTAGTTGATTCTGACTTCTTGACTTTTTTAGGATTATTTTTATTATTCATCTATGTGCCTGCTAAGCCCTAATATTAACAGCCTGTTACGTGTTAAGGCTACTGTTTTCCCAAGCAGTTTATCTAATTAGGACAGTTCTCCTGCCAGGATGAAAAGTTATCTTTTCATAATGTTCATAACAATGATTTGGGAGTGAAATGGGAGCACAGACAGAGAGGATTATTCTTAATAATGTAATATGTTGATATGGCTGTAGCCAGTGAAGTCTCCTCATGTACAAATGTGTAATGATGTGAGGCTGAGAGTATAAAATGCTTCTTTAACTGTTATTCTGGGCCAACTCTCTGAAGAAGCGAGCCCGATGGGAAGCTCTGCCAACTGTAACACCAGACATTTCTCTCGTCTGAGTAAAATTACAATTTCTGTCAAAGATTTGTTGCCATGTCTCATACTAATGTAATAAATAAACCTTATGAAGTGTCATTTAAAGTGTTTGTCCTGAGTCATCTCTTCTCAGTGAGAGAAAGCTTAAGGATGTAAAGACAGAGCTTTCCTTTACAAATAAATAATCTCAAAGAAAAAAATAGTCCAGATTAAGAAGCTGGTTAGATGATTCAAACAAACTGGACTCAAGCAACAACATTTAGCTCTTGTTTTCCTTCTTTTTTTTCTTTTTGGTGGGGAGATGTTTTTACTCAGGTCCAACTGAAAGATTTTGACTTACGCAACGCACTCAGCTTCATCCTCAGCCAGGAAGTGATAGGTCCGATTATCTACAGGACAAACATATATAATCAACCATGTATTGAACACTCTAAATCTTTTTTCTTTTCTTTTATAGGTATATTCATCTATTTATCGTTGAAATCATATTTATTATTCAACTATACAAATGATAGAAATCCAGTAATATACATATATTTCAAGTATTTGTTACAATATCCAAATACTTCTTGAAGGATTTTCCCCAGAACAATACGTAGTCTTACGGGAGATTAGGTCGAAGCATTTCTTGTCTTCCACGCTGGGTTTCACCTGACAGGTCAGCAGGTTTAGTCGAGTTGGAGGTTTATTCGGCTAAACGTTACAAAAAGAAAAGGTTGACAAGATGGAAATGCTTAAATCATACATGCATGAGTCAT